CAGATGTGAAGAAAGTTTTTACTAGAACACAACTACAACCATCCAACCGATATGTAGCTGTTCAATCGTATCTAACTTATTCTGCTGAAAAATGGTTTCGACATAATAAATCTAATATTCTTGATTGGTCTACATTTAAAATTGAACTTGTTAAAGTTTATAAACCATCACTTCATCAACTTTTATTAAAAATGGAACAACGAGTCCAATTATCCACTGAATGTGTTATGGATTATTATTGTGATAAAATTTATTTGTGTTCTCAGGTGGACCCTGACATGAGTTTCCCAATGATTATTCATTATTTGACTAAAGGCTTAAAACCCTCATTAATAGCTCATGTTATTCATAGAAATCCTACGACACCTAATGCATTTCGTGTTTTTGTTCAAGATGAAGAAAAAATCTTACTTACATTAAATGGTTTCTCTTATGCTACACCAGCTGAACATTATAATTATCTAGATGACAATATTGATATGGATCATCAAGTGAATATTATTAAACGTCAAGTTAATGTAAACAATCAATCCTTGAACTGGCAACATCATCAATCAGCTCCTCAACCACTTACTAATGTATCAACTACTGCATCTTCGTCTTCCTTTTATCGTCCTTCCTCATCTACATCACGTAAATGCTATGCATGTCATGGTTTTGAACATATTGCTCAATACTGTCCACATCGAAAAAACATGTAAAGAGGTGTCCAGATGGTGGTACCTCTACAATCAAGGAAAAACCATCACATTCTTCATCCTCATCAATTTATGTTCCCGTCAACCATGCACCTACTACTATTTTAGTTGATACAGGTGCTGCAATTTCTTTAATTCATCACCGAACATTATCTACTATGCAACACACTCCTATTATTCCTTGTTCATTAAAAGAAGTTCATACAGCAAATTGTGGTTTCATCGCTCTCATTGGTATAATTAAACTTGATGTTCAAATTCATCATATTCACACTTAAGTAGATGCATATGTTACACATGATCTTATTTGTCCTATGATTTCAGATCGTGATTGGATTCAAAACAATTATGTTAATATTAATTTCTATACCAATCATATTTATCTATTTAATGGTCTTGCTTCAACTGCTTTATTACTTAAACTTCTTCGTGATCCAGTTATTATGTCCTTATCACATGATACTGTTATTACTTCACTTCATACAAAATTTCTTTATGGTCATGCACCTATTAAATCATTAGATGACGCATTATTTACACCTAATGTTGCTTTACAACATACTCGAATGGTTCTTATACCTCATTCGTTGCTTCATATTCGTAATAATCGTGGTGTTATATCTGTTATTAACAATACTCGTCATTCAAAAATGATTCCACGTAATACTCCTCTTGGATTTATATCTTCATCAACTACAACAGCTGATATCAATGTCATTTCTACGTCATCTATGAACTCATCTCATTTTTCTTTACCATCTATATCTTTATTGTGATGCACT